TGTCTGTCTGTCTGTCTGTCTGTCTGTCTGTCTGTCTGTGTTTTATTTTGTTTTCGAGTGTGTAAAAGGTTGTGTGTGTGTTTGTGTGTATGTTTGTGTGTGTGTGTGTGTATGTGTGTGTGTGTGTGTGTGTGTGTGTGTGTGTGTGTGTATGTGTGTGTCTGTGTGTGTGTGTTTGTGCGTGTCTTCTTATTTTTACTCAGAATGAAGACCATCGTTCATTGTGTTATTGTCTTTTTTATAATTTTTCTATGTCATGGCAATCAGGAAAAGATTCGATTTACAAGCTACACAGGCCGGAAGAGCATGGAGGAGAACTTTGCCTACCTGCCCACGACCATCATCAACATTACCGCCTCTGGCATCCCCGTGTTCGCCCAGTGGAACTACCGGATCCTGTGTCACCCGTTATCACGTGATCTGCCTACGTCATATCTCAAACTTGTAGACGATCTGGGAGTAAGGATGGCTCGAAGGTTCACCATGGAGAGACTGAAGGTAACCAATTGTTTGTTTCTTCCTTGAAAATTTATAGAAGTCATCTAAGGTTTTTATTGTAAGGCAATTTACAAGATTTTTCTTATTTGGCCCGGTCTTAGCTCGGAGATCCTGCCTATCAAATAAACTCACAGTATAGCAGGGGATATTATACAATATCCCGTTACATTATATTTACACACTGATGAACATTTTTCCGAAACCAAATATATGAAAAGGTAATGAATGATAAGAAAAAGTGAAATGAAGTGACGGTTTCTAGTTCAGTCTTCTCATCTGAACAATTATTTCCAATACGGTAATAGATTTCTTTTCTCTTAAAGAGGATGTTGCCATCCACTAAACAAATAGACCAAGCTTCAACACCAGGTTGTATCAGTCCCGCTTTAAACACAGCACAAGGCCGAAAAGTCGGTTACAGAACTACACTTTGATCTTAGCAACACGAATAAATGGTCGCTTTTAAGGACAAGCGATTAACCCAGATTTTTGGGGGTTTCAAGAAATGTGAACCTACACCAAAAGTGAACATTGCCCTACCTGTAGGAAAAGTTTGGTTTCATTGGTGTGTATATTTGTTTGGTTATAGAGAAAACTCTCCTTGTCTTTTAAAGAAACTGAACTAGGGGCAAAAACTTTACCTCCGATTTTCTCAAAACAGCATTTTTGGGATAGCCCACTTGTGCTTAAAAGCGACTAAGTAATTATTATTTCTTGTGTAGGTATCACGAGCAGCCCGCTATAGGGTCCAGGGCCCAAAGGACCACTTGCCCAGAGCGTGGGCGGAGCTTGACCGCCTCATGTCCGAGATTCCAGGCCGAGACAACTACCCGGCCGACATTACGGACGACGCTTTTGGCACCACGTTCTACCACCCGGGGAAGGAGAATGACACAGCCATGAACGTGGGGTTCTACCACAGGAGGTGAGACTTCTTTTGTTGTTATTTATTTTACTTTTACTTTTTAATCCTATGTTGCCGTTTTAAGTGTTGAGGGCAGATGCAGTTTTCTACGGCAGGCCAGCTCTCCAGCTTTTTCAATTAGGATATTAAAATTTCTCAATGTTTCCCTTTTGTTGCTATGGTAACTTAAGGGGAGACGTACACTCCCGGAAAAAAGTTCTAAACGAATGACTTCCATTCACTTTCATGTAATTATACAATAAATTCATATTTAAATAGGATGTATTAAGGGTGAATGTGTTGACTTTTTCTGGAAAAGAATAGTCTCTATGGCGGTCATCTTGAATTTTCGAACCAATTTCTTAGCGCGGATGAATTTCATAGAAAAGACTGAAATTTCAGCCTGAAATTTGGCACCCAAGTGCAAACCTATACGGACTGTGGACCTATGAAAGGATTTAGACTTTTCTTTAAAAGTAAAAAAGTGAGCTTAAAGTCAATGGACCCCTGAGAGTCAGCAGACCAAAGATTTTTCTGAGATGGATCATTGGTATCATGCTCGACCATCTAGCGGATGGTTTTGATTCCGGGCGTCCTTGAACTCGGATCTGTTTGTAGAGTTTTCATGCCTCTCAACTCATTTAGCTCCGTTCAGTCGGAGACTGACGTTTAATTTGGAGGTCCCTTGTCCAGGGGCGAAGCGTCTATATAATCAAATAATCACTGCTTCCCTTCCTAATTTTGAAACATTGTCGCTGTCAAATTCATCCATAAACGTAAACCTCTTAAATTAAATGTCAAAAGACGTTCGTAATCAACAATGAACAGTATGCCTAACAGTCAAAACGGTTTCACAGCCACAGAAATAGCCTCCTCATCCCTCTCGGGCCACTCCATAAGCAGTCGCAAGTTTTGATTAAGTAAGCTTAAAGTGAGGCTGGAAGAGTCCACCAATATAGTTGAAGGGAACATATGCATAGCAGTCTAAGCTGTTTCATTGCCACATATACCCTGTTCACCCCTTTGGGGTCACAGTTAAAATCAATCTCAAGCCCTGATTATGTAAGCTAACTAACACTGGTCGAGTCTACCTCACAAATGTGAGGGGAACTAACTCCTAACAATCTCTTCACTGTTGCAAGTACTTGCTTTTTTTCCTCGACTTTTTACCGTCCTATAATCAGATCGTGACCTCGATTATGACACCAGCTCCTGGCCGCGGAAGGCTAACAAAAACAGCCAAATGTAAAATTTAAAAAATGATAATTGTCATGTTCTACCAAAGAGTTAGACTCAGTGGTAGATCTATAACATATAGATCTAGTACTGACGTCTCTGCTTCTTTGCTTTGTGTTTATGTATTCACATCTAAAGTTAAATTTAATTTTAGTTGGAACTGATATTTAATAAGATACTTTCCCGATTATTTTGGCGGTTGAACATATAATATGAATTCCGGATTTGTTTTCATTCACAACTCAGAGTCGCCGCCCCGAGTAAGATTCTTGTGTCATATCTACAGGCCATATCTGGTCCCGTTTCACTTTGATTACCCTGTCAAACAAGTCAGCCTTCGCCCCTACCCTTGTCTTAAATAACTTAAAGGTGTTGATAGAGGTGTTAAACCCATATACACTGAACTGAAATGGTTCAAACCTTCGAAAAACGTAACAACACGTCGTGTAATGCCTTAGTGGTGGACTTTGTTTCAGTAACAAGCGCGGGAAAAAAGACATTTCCTTTGTACAAAAGTTCAACACAAATATAGAACTAAAAGAATAAAGAAAAAATGCCCCTCTGACCCCATACAGATCGTAACGTAACATAAATGACAGCATAATACAGCGCTGGGAGTGGTGATAGAGAATGTTATTACTATTTTTGCCACTTTGCCAGCCTGAGGGAAATGGTATCTTTACCTGTGTGTGTGAGTGTGTGTATGTGTGTGTGTGTGTGTGTGTGTGTGTGTGTGTGTGTGTGTGTGTGTGTATGTGTGTTTATTTGTGTAGTGTGTATGTTTGTGTATGTGTTTATGTGTGTTAGTGAGAGAAAGAGTGTGTATGTGTGTGTGTGTGTTTGTTTGTGTATGTGTGTATGTGTATGTGTTTGTGTGTGTGTGTGAGTGAGAGAGTGTGTGTGTGCGTAAGTCTGTGTGTGTGTGTGTGTGTGTGTGTGTGTGTGTGTGTGTGTGTGTGTGTGCGTGTGTGCGTTTTAATTTGATTGCTTTGCACTATTGAAAACAATTGCCGTATTTATATGGACGTGAGCTTCAGCGGTCGATAGAAATATTCGTGGGCGTCAAGTCAAATACTGTTAATTGTATAATGTACAGTGATGTCGGTGGTAGTTTTAATTTGGAGGTCACTTGCGTGCAAATTTGAACCGAGAAAAAATAATCGTAGGTCAAAATGATGCGTTGGTTTAAGGTCACGACCAATAATTGCGTGTTAACCGATTATTCTTTAATTCATCAAATACTGTTCATTGTATAATGTAACGCGATATCGATGATAGATCTAATTTGGAGGTAAATTGGATGCGAATATGAGTCGAGGAAAAAAATCACCCCGTGACAAAAGCCCTGTGTTAATTTATGGTCACCACTAATACATGCCTGTTAACCGAATTCTCTTTTTTATAAGAATAATACCAATAAATTCTTGCACTATGTGCCGTTTGTGTGACATCTGCTGAATCATTGTATATCTGCTGTGCGCACGACATGTTAATGAAAATATTAAAGACTGGGCTGTTCTGATTTGAATTTGGTTTTTATTTTACTTATGATCTTTTTGTTTGGGTTCTTATTTTTTCAATCCAGCTACAAAGTGGGCAAGGCTGACGCGATGGGTCTGAAGTACGGTAGACGAGGCTTCAGCGACCCCAATCTATTCGTGGCAGAGACAACCCAGCCCCGCGTGGCTCCGCTGTACCTGCGGCAGTGCAAGCGTAAGGTTTGCCATGAGACCACGAAACGCATGACGTACGCCATACCGCTGGAGATCGTTTACCTCACGCCACTGCACCAGTGGAACCCTTACAACTTGACGCTCAGACCAAAAGCACAGAGGTCGGTCGTTACTGAATCCGGCAAGAGGAACGGCAAGTTCACTCCAGATAAAGCTTATAATGGGTCATATCACTCAATTTATTACCGCATTCCGACAGAGCTTTTCACTGGAAGAGAGGTGGGTAAAGACCCGGCAGACACGGTCAGAGGCTCTGTCGGCGTCCTTGACGACGAAGGCATCGTGCGACGTGTTTCCGCCTCCGGGATGCGCGTCATCCTTCCGAATATTCCCGGGGTGGGGCCACTACGCACCCGGTATCCTATCATGCCTGTGCACGGGGAGGGTGGGTCAGTGTGGAAAGAACTTAACGCTTTAAAAGACATTGTCCTACAGATGAAAACCAAACAGGCATATCTTTACGAGAAACCGATATTCCAGCAGAGAAGTTCAACTGCACCACCCACACAACCTGCAAGAAAACGGTGGCAGAAGACAACAAATCGCGGCCGGGGAACCACACCTAGAGGCTCTAGGCGGACGTCACCAACACAAACCACGCCCACTAAGGGAAGGGGGACAACTAAAAACTCAAGACGCGGACGCCCGGCTAAAGTGACAACGCCCATAACTGCTCTGGAGGCAACTCTCACTCCACCGGAGGTGGAGGACGGTGCACCTGCATTGAGTCTGGTCATGAGCACCGCCACTCTGGACCCACCAGGCGAGCACTCACACACGGTGGACCTCACAGCTGACGAGATAGACAGCTTGAAGACAGGAGGGACCGTAATCACCGTGAGCAGCGAGGACAACGGACATGCCCACAGCGTTCATGTGAAGTACTACGACGGACGCTATCACGTCGTATTGTGTGACGGCAGCCAGTTGCCATGCTGGGACGGCCACGGACCTTGCCTCATGAGGAAGATGGATAAATCGTGCCCTAAAGAAACAGTTGAGTCTGTCTCTTCTACCACCTCCACGCCTACCACTCCAAAGGTGGATAAAGACCCTGGCACTGACGGCACCCGAGTGGCAACACCGACAACGGTCAGTCTGGCTGAAGCTACAACTTCTGATCTGGCATCGAAGGCCTCAACTACCCTTGGGAGAGATTCTGTCACCAACTCTAATGATCAAGAATCATCGGTGTCAAACCCATCAACGACAACAATTACATCAACGGATACAGAGTCAAAAACAACATCCTCATCAACCCCCGGGGTTAGTTCTGGCGCGAACCCAACTATATTAATACCTTCGGTGGAAACTTTACTGGAGTCTGTGAGCCCTTCAAGAGCACATGTGAGCCCAACGACAAAATCATTATCACGTGATACATTATTCGCTTTAACTGTGAAATCACTAAGTACTCCCACGGTGACGTCAACACTTGGGAGCACAAAAGAGTCTGAAACTTCTTCAACAACAAACCTCCAACAGCTTAAATTTGGATCCGGTTTTATAATAGAATCAAATAGACATGATACTCCGACAACAGTTACAACAGAAACGACTTCCATTAAGTCCACAGACTCTATAGATTCCAAGGGACACGATACTTCGACAACAGATACTAGAACATCGACTTCCATTAAGCCCACAGATTCACCTAACCCTTGTGCACAAAGCTCAGATGTGAATTGTTCCGAGGTTTCAGTTCCACCGCTTTCCTCAGAATCCCCAGAAACTCCCACACAAAGTTCCCCGACCTCACCTACAGATTTAACTCCGTCACAAACTTCAGAACAAGCCTCACACTCAAGTTCCGGAATTGTCCCTGATCCTTCTTCCTTTCCTCCATCTTCTTCTTCTTCCTCTCCCTCTTCCTCTTCGTCTTCCTTTTCCTCTTCCACAGCCACGTCTGGAACTCCAACACCAGAGTCTGGGATGACTAACGAACTTACTTCTCAACAAGACACGAGGGGGAGACTGAATAACAACAATTTCCGTCTCCCACCTGGAACCACCTCGTTCACAGGGGTCACGCCCCCTCAATCGGGATGGAACTCTCTGTCCAATAGAATCCCTCGTAGAGAAAGGCCATCGGCAGTCAACAATCGCCAGTTCCCATCAAGGGTAAGTTATAAGTTACCTTAGCGAAACATTAACACTTCATCCGTAGAAAAAAATGGAATAGGTTTAATGCTCCTATCAACACTATTAGGTAATTTAAGAGGTGGGACCGCCGAGCTTAAAGTTCATTTCCGAAAGGACCGAGACTAATGGGAAAATAAATAATAAATAAATAATTAATAAATAAATTACACTTGTATTTGTCCCAGAAGGGCACTTTGTTTTACAATGGCAAACATACATACATAGATACATAATTATAAATGCGTACATACGTAAATACATACATGCATAAATACATACATAAATACACACTATTACACAAATACAGAACAGTTTACTAACAATGCCACTGTCGGTCGCCACTGTGCAGCGCCCTGTAATTTGAGCTAGGGTTGTCGTGTCTTGCTCAAGGACACACTCCAGTGACCACCCATCTGATCCCCGTGTCACCGACACTTGCTTGACATTTCTTGAGTCAAAACTCACTACTCACTTAGCCACTGGAGCCCCCAAATATACTTGTAAAGTGACTTTCCTAAAAACCCAACGCCGGACGCTCGAACCCCGAGCCTGCATTCTCGTGATTATGGGCCTGGTAGCCTAACCACAAGGCCACAGACGCCACGACTTTACCCATAGAGACACGATCCATTTCAGCTTTGGGGACATATTACCTCAAGGAACACCATCTTTATCTACGAGTACATTCGAACCTGCTCTAACGACCAGCTGTATGAAATAATCACCTGTACAAACGGCCACTTCCCATTTCCTCTCTTGAGTATTTTTTAACATTGTAATGACAGTGTGGAAGACGGTCATCTGCTTAAGACGGTCATTTCCTCCTTCGACATTGGATGGCGTCATAGGCAATTTTGAATGCATTCTTCTTCTTGACATCAAACGTTATTGACAGCAACTAGCACAACAGTGAAGAGTTGGGTTTTTTTATACACCTTCAAATTTAGACTACATTTGTATGATAAAGGATCAGTTTCAAAAACATACGTAGAGTATACATGATATCTTTCTTGCTCGGAACACTGGTCTTTACATCTATTTCTGTATTAGAATTATTAATGATGCTATTTCGTATATTAAGAACAACTATTTTTAAAACTATTGTGGGGGCTCTCGTGGCCTAGAGGTTAAGGTGTTGGCCTCTCATTCAAAGGTCCCGGGTTCGAATCCGGGTAGCGACAAAATAATTTTCTTCTCTAAAATTGTCTCCTTTCACCTTCTTTCCTGCTCCCTAGCAATGTTCTGTTGTCTGCTTTCATTTCCACTTTCTGCCCCCACCCCCTCACCACCTTTGCCCCCTCCTCTGGGCTCCTGACTCTTTCTGCAGTCTTTCTACTGCTACTCCTTGGCTCCTCCTTACTGCTGTCTTTCTGCCACACTCCTGATCTTCTGGTAGGGAAGATCTACACCTAGCCTTCTCGGACAAGGGCGAAAAATCTCGGAGGGCCCGTGTGCAAGTTGCGCACGTTAAAGATCCCTTGGTGGTCTAAAATCGATAAGAGTAGGCTTCGGCCACCACCCGGGCAAAATTCAAAATTTCCTACCAACTGAAAATATTAGGTGTGTCCCGCGCGCTCATATGACCTTATGCAGTTGCGAGCGCCGTAAAACACTTTACAAAAACAAAACAAACAAACAAAGCAAAAACTATTGTTCACCCTCCGCCCCCGGGCGACCATGTTAAAATATTGTTCAACCCCCTCCCCCACACGCCTGGCCACCATTAAAAATATAATTTATCCCCCCCCCCCCCAGGACACCAAAATATTTCATCCCCCCCCCCCAACCCTGCTAAAACTTGCTCTTGCATTGCTACTGTTTCTTTTCCCAGCCGTACGACACCCCGGGCACTTTCTGGAGAAATCTTTTCCGGGGCTGGACTGGTCACTGAGATGTCGTGAATGGATTGGTTACTGGGATATCGTGATTTGACTGGTCGCTGAGATGTTGTGACAAGATTGGTCAGTGAGATTGTGTTATTAGATTGGACAACGAAATGTCGTGAATGGATTGGTAGCTGAGATGTCGTGAATGGATTGGTAGCTGAGATGTCGTAAATGGATTGGCTACAGGGATGTCGCTAATGTATTGGTCTCTGACATGTCGTGAATGGATTGGTCCTTGTAATGTCGTGATTTAACCAAGTGCTGTACTTTTCGTCAACAAATCAGTTATTCATATTTTCTCTTGTTTTGGGATAAAATGTGCATTCAATGCACTTTTTTTAAACTCTTCGAGGGCGTACCGGACACTTATGTGCAAGAGCAGACCAAAGGGCATGTTGTAACATATTTCGAATTATAGGCCTAATAATCACATCAGAAACACGAATTTGCACATGATTTCATAGTAAAAAGCCCTATACTTTGCCTTTTAAAGTTTCAAGTAAAGAATGTTAAATTGAAAAGTCTCTATGAATGGCTATAAGCATAATTACGTTTCTTTTCTTAAAGTGCTCTAAAAAAGTACATTAGTGCATGTTCAAGCGTTGTTGAAAAACCAGAGTTCTTCAAAGAGTTAAAAATCTATACGTTTCATAGTAGGGCCAAGTGATAACGCTCGACTCGAGGGATGAAAAACTCACATAGAATTAAACGTCTGGTGTTTAGTGGAATTCTTATACCCAATGGGATCATAGAACAACTTTAAATGTCAACAGAACACACATCATATTTCCTCGTGCACACCCTTAAATAATATTTCACTCGCTCGTGTGACCGTGTACAGATGCGAGCGCCGTAAAGCACTTACCACAAAAAAAAAGAAGAAAAGCACCCTATCTCATCAGCGTCCTGTGATGACTTACGTCTCCTATTGGCACCGAAGACGAATCACTCCACCCCAGCCCCCCCCCCCCCCCCCCCCCCCAATCTATTTCTTTTTTCAGAAACATTTAATTTTCCTCTTCCCAACTGGTGTGATTCATATTCACGTGGAGCTTATTATGTTAAGAACACAATGTGTTTCTTTTTATCTAAACCGGTAGTGTTGAAAAAGCAGGGGTATGAAAGGTAGCCTTTCATCTGAACAGACGATTTTAGTTTGCTTTTGTGCCTGATAACAACTGCTGGTTGTCATGGTTACTATGTGTGAGATGTGCCTGTTTAGCGTCTCTCAAATGTTGTATGTACTGTAAGTTAAACAGACATTGCGTTACTCTACGTTTGTAAGATATTTGTATAGCTCTTCCTCTGCTGTTACAATGTTAATAGTGCGTTCCAATGTTGTTCTCAGGACATTCACATTGTTTTCTTGCTATATGTAATTTTAAAATCAAATTTTGAAGTTGATGTCTGTTTTGTAAAGGGACAAAATACAGAATTTCAAACTGAAATGTGAGAGATACTGCGACAGCATAAACATCCCAAGACATATCCACTTGAAAACAGTTCACTTGAAATATTTCTAATCAGATTGTTTCTGCTTTGACTTATTAAAAGACTCGGAAGTGGGAAGACACGATTGCCCACATTAACTGTATATGATTTTATTGATATAGTAGAAAACGAAAACTATTTCAATTTATGAGACAATTCTTTGAGATACTAAGATCAGACTTCGCAATCTATGGTTGTTCACTTCAGTGTTTGAAGAACTATTAGCATTGTTTGTTCATATTGTTATACTTAAGTAGAAAACTGTAAAGATAATTTTTTTAATGCCTTACCCAGAAAGAAACATTATTTATCGCACATCAAATTTTGAATCATATCAGTTTCATACAACTGACTTTTTAAAGCAGCGCCTGCCGCTGATCACGGCAATGTTATGATTTTAATATCTCCAAATGAAGGAAATATATAGACATTGTTTTTACCAAAAATCTTATCTTGCCTCAAGGTATTTACAGGTAGATTTCCAGACAGAAAAGGGTGGAGTTGGTGGCCTTGTGGTTAGGCTACCAAACTCGTAATCATTGGATTGCGGGTTCGGGGATTCGAGCGTCAGCTCGGTCCGACGTTGTGTCCTTGGGAAAGGCACTTTACCCGCAATTCAGATTTTGCTCTGTCCTTTCGGGGGTCCCGCCTTTCAAATATCCTAATAGTGTTGATAGGGGCGTTAAACGAAAACCATTAAATTTCGCCATTTTCACCAGACACAGAAAAAACATCTTTTAACAAAGATAGATAGTACGTCTGTTCGCTTTTTCAAATCAAGTTATTACATGTGCGAGCACTTATATTCTTGACTGTGCGTATTATGTACTCTGTTTTGCGCTTGCGCTCAAAAAGCGAGGATTCGATTTCCTTGCGAGAAGATATTAAATCACCAAAGACCGTCCTTCAGCTGGGCTGCATGATGTTATATTCAATTCAGTCATGTTTTGCTCTTACAGGCAGTGTCCGAAATAAACAGCTACCTCAAAAAATTGTTATCTAAACTACGTTGATGGAGTCGTAACTCATTCTGTTAGAGAGAAAGATGATTGTATCAAGTGACAAGAACAGAAAGTGCCATGGTTTCAGAATAACATAACAGGACACGTTTAATTAAATATCCCTTTGTGCATTCTTGTATGTGTTTACTTTGTTATGATTTTTGCGTAAAAGTATTGATTCTTTTGCTGTCACATTTTGATAATCGCGTTTCTTGAAAGTTATGGTATGTTAGAAACTTTTAAGGAATGATTGTTTGTTAATTGTTAGCATACATTGTACACTTACCCGCAAAATAATACACTTTCTCGCATGTGCACGTGCATGCGGATAAACATTCCTGCACACTGCACAATTACTTAGTTTATACCTCAAAAGGCTCAGACACACAAATACACCCCCCCCCCCCACACACACACACACTCTCTCTCTCTCTCTCTCTCTCTCTCTCTCTCTCTCTCTTTCTCTCTCTCTCTCTCTCTCTCTCTCTCTCACACACACACACACACACACACACACACACACACACTCATACACACACGCGGGCGCACAAGAGCAGATACCTATAATAAGTAAGCATGAACTCTTACATACAAAGAGCGAGACATTGAGGTGTGGAAGGAGGTGCGGAAGGAGGGGGGAATTTTGTTATAAAAAGCTGGGAAAGAGAAGGGCTGAGTGAGATTGCTTGTGAGTATGAGTGTAAGTGCATGTATTCGTGTGTGCATATGTGTGTATATGTGTGTGGGAGTCTGTGAGTGTTTGTGTGTGTGAGAGAGAAAGAGAGAGACAGAGACAGAGAAAGAAAGAAAAGGACAGAGAGAGGGAAGTGACAGAGAGACAGAGAGAGAAAGGGACATAGAGAGAAGAGAGAGGGAGAGGGGGTGGAGGGACAGAGAGGGGGTGGGTTTGGAAGAGAGATAGACAGAAAGAGGAAGAATGGGCTTAAAAGAAAGGCTTAGGGAAAGGAGAAGATCATCGAGATAAAGAGTTATTGTTTTTTTTAATCGTCTGATAGTTGGGGCAAAACAGCTTCGGCTTATATGTCTCTCATCAACTACTTTATTACCATCGCTTTATTATTACCAGTGAGAGAACAATGATTTTCTATAAGCGTTCGTTTCACAGTTCACAAAAACAGAACCGGTTAGTTTATATTATCACTGTGATATTATGGCATTGAAAAATAACGCTAGAACTAAGGTACAACACTGGCAATGTCAAATTAATTTCTTCAGCAATGTACTATAATCCTTGTAAAATAGATCCTATAAAGTAATTAATTATCAATAATAATTTATTCAAATGTTTGCCATTCTTCAACAATGGAGAGAAGCTTGCCATAGTTTCTTGCTGAATCAACTTTTTAAGTTCCTGTACGCAAGAACGTTTATACATTATGCTGTAATGTTAAATGATCAAACAATTCTGACATTTCTTACCCCTATTCTTTTCCGTTGTTCCAATTGAGGACTAATAAAGAATACAAAATACTGTCTCGTACAACAAATGTCACAAGCACGCTTTGCAATTAACCATCCATTAAATATGCATGTGTATAATTTTTACGAGCGTCTGTAAGTATGTGCAGTTATAGGTAAAAGTCAGTGTGTGATGTTTTTACGGATATGCGTATAGCCGGCTTGTTAATAAAGACAACATTTTAAGGAAATAAAACGTCCGCCGTGTAAATTGTGTATCGTACATGTGTTTTATAGTATATTAAATATTATGTTATTTCACATGTATGTTTCAAAGAGTCGTAGAGCTAAGAAGTATGGGGAAGGCTGAAGGTTGACTGTTGACTCTGAAGATATATACATTTATTTGTCAGAATTTTGCTCCAGGTAACGGGTGGTTGATTTTCAGTCATTTAGTTATGTGAAAACGGCAATTTATTGGAGGGGAGATGAGGGGGGGGGGGTCAGAGCTTCTTATATTCAACGTGTGTGTTTAGGGGCAGCTTTTTCTTTTGTATGTGAGTATTTATTTGCACATATTATTATGTATATGTGGGCGGACGTACATCTGTGCACATGACCAATGTGTTTGCATGCTTGAGAGAGTACATCAAGAGTCAGGGTGTTTTTATGCTTGTGTGTGTCTGTGTATATGTGTGTGTTTGTGTGTGTGTGTGTTTGTGTGTGTGTGTGTGTGCGCGCGTGTATGCATGTATGTATGTCTGTGTGTGTTTTATTACTGATGTATATGCATATCTACCTGGTAGATACGCTTGAAAGTGCATGTAAGTGTGCGAGAGAGCGCATATGCCGCTTTCTCTTGTGTTCGCAAGACTAAAATTGTCATGTACTGTCTAAGACGGCCACCAATTGTCAAAGAACACGGTGATTGTTTTATGCAGGTGACAGTTAGAGTAGCTTCGAGCGTATTCTTATATCATGTATTGGAGTACTAGATTCAGCTTGTCAGGTATGCATTTCGACTCGTGCATCATTGTGACGTGAATGTAAAAGTGATATTTGTTGACGTTTGAATTATTTGATTTGCAACATATGCAGTGATGTAATCAGGGAAATATTCTGTTAAATCAAGATGTAAAATTTGTGAATAAACTCTTTTCTTATAGTCGTTTAAATCAATTGAGACTTTCGTCTTGGTTTGTCAGTCTTTTCGTGACGTATAATATGAAACACATTTTGTAATTCTTCATTCTTAGAACCCTCTCTTCTTTAAACATGTATCTATATCTTGTGTGTGAGTTGTTGGAGGGCACCACCGGTAAGTCTTTTTTTTATATTTCCCCTTTGTTGCTTCTGCCTGTCTGTCTTCTTTTGTCCCAGGTCTAGAAATGACCATTATTGTGTCGATGTACTGCTCTTTACTCAAACAAACAAACAATACACAGGGGATGTGAGTGTGTACAAGCTGTTATAATGAACATCTTTGTCTTTCGGTTTGACATATTGCTGCCAAAGAATTACAAAGTTCTATAACAAATAGCTCAGTACCTAGTTTTGAGAAATTTGACATTAAAAAGTTTGAGTTTCTCAAAATGGTTAACCCTTTTCGAATGAAATTTTTGCAATATCTTGATAACGACTCCAAAAAATCGTACGATTTTGACCGCGCAGATAGAACATTGGTTTCAGACCTCATGGTCATAGTTGCTTAAATTGGCCAAAATTTTCAGATAGAGAGCTTTGTAATTCTGAGGTAGCCATATGTCTCAAACAGCACAGATGATCCCTTTCAGGCTGACTGGTACACAAAGGCAACGTCTCAACTTCTATTACTGTTTTAGTTAAGAGTTTTACCGCTCTTGCAACACGATAAGGTCATATCAGTGCCGACGACTGAAGATGTTACATGTGAGTAACAAGCACAAAAAAGAAGAATACATACATAAGGACGGAAGATGTTTGATAAGAAAGAAGGAGCAAACCACACCAGAGCACCCGCCAACCATTCACACATTCTATTCTGTCTTTGAGCTCTCAGAACTGAAAGCAAAAATAAAAGTCACACAGTATTGAGAAAAAGAAAATTGTTGTAAATTCTTTAATCGATGCATCGTGTCAAAAAGACAGCTCAAATTACAAAGAACAATAAAAACTGATAATCACAAACCATCTGGGCAAAAATATTGGGTAATATTATTCAAGTTTGCAGGGATTCCAACAGGTTAATGTAACAATTCAGAAAGATCCATGGATGAGACTTCGTCCTCCTTCATTCTTATTTTCTTTTCGTATTGATAATCATGTTAGGCCACTAGCCCCATGCATTTTTGTATCAATCTTTGCGTATAATCATATGTATAATTCGTAGTCTCTGTTGTGCATTTCTCACCCCCCCCCTCCTCTCTCTCTCTCTCTCTCTCTCTCTCTCTCTCTCTCTCTCTCTCTCTCTCTCTCTCTCTCTCTCTCTCTCCCTCTCTCTCTCTTTCTCTCTTTCTTTTTTCTCTCTCTCAATCTATCTCTTATTTTAACTCTCTCCTCACTTTCTCTCGCTCTATCATCCCCCTCCCAACATACACACTCTCATACACACACACACACACACACACTCTCACAGACACACACACACACACACACACACACACACACACACACACATACATACATACACACACAATCTCTGTCCCCCTCACAACACTCTCTACCTCGCTCTTCGTTCTCTCCCTCTCCCTCTCTCTCTCTCTCTCTCTCTCTCTCTCTCTCTCTCTCTCTCTCTCTCTCTCTCTCTCTCCCTCTCTCTCTCTCTTTCTCTCTCTCTCCCCCTATATTACTCAGCGTAGTGTCTCTCCTCCTTTAACAACTCACACGCACACGAAAAGATTAAAAGCAAATGTATCCAGAAATGTCCATATCCTCATAAGTAACCAGCAGTACGGGCAACAGCAATACCAGAAGAGTATTGGTCGTTTTTAAGCACAAGGGGGCTGTCCCGAAAAAGGCTGTTTTGAGAAAATCGAAGGTAAAGTTTTTACCCCTTGTTCAGTTTCTTTAAACGACAAGGGGAATTTTCTCTATAACCAAACAAATATACATACCAACGAAACCAAACTTCTCCAATAGGTAAGACAATGCCCACTGTGGGTGTTGGTCAAGATTTCTGGAAACCCCCGAAATCTGAGTCAGCCCGCTTGTCCATAATAGCGACCATCATCACAGACTCGAATCACACCCACTGAGTTAATAGCTGTTGTTATTCGATGTTTAAGATTATCGAGGTTAGTGCGTATCAGTGGAACATAAACGCCATCTTTTACATATCCCAACAAGAAAAAAAAATCAAACACGATGAGGTGTGGGGATCTGACAGGCCAAGCACACAGAGCAAGGTCTTGAGCCCCTTTCCGACCAATTCATCGCTGGGGCACAGCTACTATTTAAAAGTTAGATCCTTCCTCTTTTAAATGGTCAAAGACTCATTCCATACCGATGCTTGAGATCTGAAACAATGCGTCATAAAATTGGTTCATTCTATTTTATTCAAAATTTAGATAGCTCCTTTTTTTAATGGTCGCTGACTCTTTCCATTATAACGATGCTTTAGAACTGAAGCAATGCGTCATAAAATCGGTTCATTCTTTTTTAATCACCCTGCACAACATTATAACTGGCAATTGTGATGTAGCGGTTCAGGGGCTTTGCTGTCACATGCAGGAGATCATAATTCGATTCCCGAATGGGGAGATAATTTTTATCGAGTATCTTGGTCTTTCTGCTGGAATGTTGTCTCCCTCTCAGCTCGGGTTGGCCCTGACAAAAAGGAGCTACAGCCCGCCCCCTTAATGAGCTATATTGTGTCGATGAGGACGTAAAAAAAAACACCTATATTTAAAATGAAGAATATAAAATTATAATTAAAGTCGGTGCTTAAAATTTAGGAACAATTCCGAAAACCAACATGAATTCCCGAAAGCAAAGAGGTTATAAATAGTACTATATTATGTACTCTCTTTTTCCCGAATACTAATGAGCTGGTCGACCTTTCCGCATTTGCACCCTCTTTAGAGTCTTGTTCATCATTGCTCCCTTGTAGGCCTTCCAGTCCACGCTCACCTGCAGACGACTCTGCAGCTCTTCTTGTGTGGGGTAGGGACACAACTGAAAAAAAAAGAAATTTAAAAAAATAAGATTGCTTTAATGAGGGACGAAAATTTTGGACGGAAATATCCGAACAACGACGCACAAAAACCCAGTGTAAGCACAAAATTGTACTTATTACATCCTTACTCAATAATGCGCTCAGACTAAACGCATGTGAAGTTTATCAAAGAAAAGGATCGAAAACTATTGGGGGTTGCTGCAGAATTGTTCTAATTTTCTCATACATTTTATTGGACAATAAAGCTCGACAACGTTCTGTAAGACTTATCAATAATTGAACAGCCCTTAATTTCGATTTACGTGGTTGGCGGATGCTCTGATGTGGATTGCTCCTTCTTTGGAGGTGGTTGGAGGGTGCCTCTGGTAGGTTTTACTTCTTTACTTTCCCTATGCTGTTTCTGTCTGTCTGCCTTTCTTTTTCCCAGCTCTAAAATGACCATTGTTATGTGTCAATGTACTTCTCTTTACTCAGAGAAACAAACAAAATATGACGCCTGCTGACAAAATGAGTTAATTCTCGGATTTTAACCTCATTGATGGACATATTATATGCGTGAAATGTACAGGTTTGGTTTGTTCAGTTTATTAAGAGAAAAGATAAAAGACATGTTTAACTTTTTAAAAATTGTATCCGTTAAAAATCTACAAATTTGATGTGTCTATTTTCGGATGACACTTCCATTCGTGGATTGCATCTCTCCTCCTTCTTTTCTTTGTATTTTACACGTTAGTGCTTGTACACCTCTATTTTTTCGGCGTTTACTGTAGCCTACGTGTGTTGAGAGTGCCGTAAAATTCTTACAAAAACGTTTATAAAAATCAATTATCTATAGATGGCTTTCTCCCTAGAGGTTGAGGTGGGTGGAGTAGGTGGGTTTTTAAAAAATTACTATCAATCGATGGGTTTCTCGTTTATGGGTGGTGGGTAGGTGGGTAGTTGGGTGGGTAGGTGACTTACGTCCATTCTGAGCTGGCGATGCAGACTGTCTGTCATGTGATCCCAGTAGAACTGTTTGGAGATGAGGAGACAGTCGGCGCCATTACTGACCACACAGAAGCTGGTTTGTTGACCCAGGACAAGGTCTGATAGGCCCTGTGTAGAGATAGAAGTTCTTCTTTTAAAATTCTACATCAAACATAGGTATACTTCCGTCCCCATCGACACATAGTTTAGAAGGTGGTCTAATGACCCTGCCTGTCAGGGCCGACCCGAGCTGAGATGGATGCAACATCCCAAAAGAAAGACCGAGCTACTCGAAAGAAAATCTCTTCCCACTCTGGAATCGAACTTGAATCTTCGCTGTGAGAGAGCGAAGCACCAAAACGCAAAACCACAGACGCCGGTAGATATAAGTCTGCAGTAAATTCACGGTTATGACGTTTTCAGTAAGGCTGGATTCTGCTCGGTTAATCGAAGGCTTGCAAAGCAGCGGACGGCTTGCGCTAGAGGCTTGCGAGCAGGCTTGTGATTTGACTTGCCTCCCGCTTGCTACCGGAGGGAACTTCCGGTGAGTTGTGACTCGTGAACAGCCCTGCTGTACTGTGTCGTGACGTCGCGAACTCTCGTGGTTGTGGGCTCAGTACATATTAGAGAAGATTCTCTGTTTTTTTGCGTTGAGAGGCTTGCACCAAAAGTGCAAGATCGGGTTTTTTTTTCATAGTTCGGTTGTAAAAAACAAAAAGCTCTATTCAACGCACTTAAAAATTAATATTGGATCGGCTATTTTTAAGATGTTTTTCAGTAAAGAAAGGTCATTTCAAACCGGGTTTGAAAAAACGTTAGGGTAAGTTCCAGTAGTCTGAATAAAATATTGCTGAGTTGTGCATTTCCTTTAGTATAATAGTAAAACGAGTGAGACAAAATAAGAGCAAACCATAATGAGCTCAAATAGATTCTGGGTGGGAGGGGGGGGGGGTGATTTTTTTACTTTCGTAACTTAAGTCAGGGTTGGGAATAACTTCGCAACAGACAGATCGAACGTTAAGAAAAAAAACGAACACAATGTACAACAGCTTAAGGGTGGAGTGAAATTTTGTTATTTTTTTAGTGTAGAGCGGGACCAAACTGCTTTATATTAGACTCATGTTCTTAATCACAACCAAAAATATAGCAATAGATCACAGTTACAAGAAACATGCATTCATTTTTAAAAATGAGATACCTCAACGTGAGCGCTATATTCTAGATGCCGCTGTGGGCTCTGTTAAATAATATGACAGACTGATAATGAAGAATGAGGCGAAAAGAACACCAGGACATCGATATAGATAGCTGGTACCTCTGCTAAACAGATTATAAATGGTCAAAGACCTTACAATAATCATAACCTCCTTGATAATTAATATTTCATTTTTTCACCAGTGCAGAAGGTTCTTTTAGAACAATTTTACTCTTATCAGGTAGGTAAAACACATAAGAGTGTAAGATATATTATATGCAGAGAGAGAGAGAGAGAGAGAGAGAGAGAGAGAGAGAGAGAGAGAGAGAGAAACAAACAGACAGACAGACAGACATTATAAATGTCGCCAGTAGAGCTGCTAATAACGTTTTATTTTGTTTTGTATCTCAAATAGAGGAACTGCCCATCTCATTAGACAATTGCCAGTATTACTAAGCCCTAAGAGTGCTGGCGCCCTTGATAATGCGTGTTAATGCCATTAATTTAATCTCCGAAATCGTATCGAATCTTGAGTGTGGTAAATTCGTGTTAATATGGTACTTACGAAAACTCTTCCTTTAGTCAGTGTTTGTATGTGAACAAACTCTGGGTTTAGGTCTGCCTCTGTAATGTCATCTGGGTCCTGGAAACGAACATTCGAGATTGGGTAAGAAGAAGAAGAAGAAGAAGAAGAAGAAGAAGAAGAAGAAGAAGAAGAAGAAGAAGAAC